CTAAGGCTTCAGTACTCTAGAAGGATTATTTAGGATCATAATAGAATATAAACATTTTTCTCCCTTTTCTCTGTACATTTCTCTTCTTATCTCTTACTTCTTATTTTTCTTACTTTTTTCTCACTACTTTATGGTTCTTCCTCTTCCTCCCTTCCTCTATTCCCTTTCCTCACTCTCTCTCTCCCTCTCTTTCTCTCTCTCTCTCTCTCTCTCTCTCTCTCTCTCTCTCTCTCTCTCTCTCCTCTCTCTCTCTCTCTCTCTCTCTCTCAATCCATCCCCCTCTCTCTGTCTCCCTCCCTCTCTTCACTTTCCTCGCGTCAGCTCGTCGGGGCTCGGATCATCTACCATTCGGACAGCGGACAATTGGCCGTGCCCTTTCCCGTCGGCACTGTTAGCCGCTCAAAAGTCACGGTAGCTAATCATCGCAGCGGGCCGTCCATCTGAGCACGGATCAGCGACACCACGCAGCGTCGTCCGACTCCCCTGCTCTGTCCCGCCGGCTCACCACTGTGAAGTGTGCGCTGTGCACCCCACAGAGGCCTGCATGTGCACCGCACATTGTGCAACGTTGCACGGTGTGGTGCTGTGCGACGCCGTCGCCCGGGGCCGGTGGTTGTAGTTGGCGAGGGCCCGAGGGTAGCGCTTCTCCGTCCGACAGAGCTGACCGTGTTCTCGGGTAATAACCGCTGATCTGACTCGCTAACTGAGGCTGGGCGTGGCGGCTCAGCTGCCGGCGGGGCAGGACCGCGTCGGGACCGAGCGTGAAGTGAGTGTGACCATCGCCGGTCATAGCCGGTTGAGGATCGATACTTTGCCAGATACAGACAGGTGTAATTTGAGTTCGATTGTTCAAAATTGAACCATGAAGCGTAGGTGTAAGATGGATTTAGAAAGACGATTTAAAGAACGTCGAAATAAGAACGAGCGAAAGAACGCTATCGATAAGTTGGGCTCAATTACATACAAAACGAATCTGAATTCAACATGCACAGTTGACTTGAAGAACGTACCACGGGTGGTAACAAGTATATTCATAAATAGTCGTGATTAGTGATTACTATCATACTATGCAAATAATTCTTTGTGAGCTCAAGCTTTCAATCGGATTTTCCTATCGGGAAGCCCAGTGGATTGGTCCAGGCTGTGCTATATCGACTGTGTGCGCATGTTCTGCGGTCGTCGGCCGCGCGGCCCACAGCTAATCCGGATGTTATTTTCCAGTGTGTGCGGAAATAAGCGTCATTTGTCTTCTCGCAGGAACTGCATTGGGATGCAGGCATTAGGTGTGCTGGGCTGAGGATGCAGCGGTAAGCGGATATTCTAATCAATGTGTTTCGCAAAGAAGAACAGGCAAACGCCATTTGATAGGTGCATGAAACATTTGAATACCAATACAATGCAATAGCATTTTTCATATTTACTCATATATCCTTTCACCTTGCTGAACTCATGACCCATGGCTTTTGAACTACTTGAATTGGCTATGTACCTAGAGTGTACATTAAAGCGGGTGCGCAAAGTTATCGCATTCATTGCATAGCCATTGATGTGACCAACTGGCATTTACCTACCACGGATGCCGTTGGATTATGCAAGCAATGCCATCTTGCGAGCTCTTTCGAGAGGAGCGTTCTTAAGCCTGCTGTATTGCTAATGTCCTGTCGTAGTTCTTATTCAAATGTGCGACTTTCAAAGACCCGCGACTCGAACTGAAGACGATTGCATGTCGCATGTTGGCGTCGACAGCGAATTTCAGACATTGGTTGAAGCTCATTGCAAAACACTCTCGATCGTGGGTTGATTCAAACGTCGCTGGCTAAAAGCTCAGTCGTGAAAATATCTCACTCTGTCTGTGTAGAATGTCGTGCGAATCTTGAACTGCAACGCCAATGTGGTCGTGTGGGCCGTGTTCACTTCAAAAAGTTTCCTGGTCTCGTGGTAGAGATCATAAAAGCAAAACGATGCACTGCAATAACTACGGAGCCACGGAATTGAGCTAAGGTGCTGTTTAGTGCTTCTGAAAAGAGCTGGATGTGCAAGATTGTATCAGCCATTCATCCATCCCTTACCGCGCATATAAATGTAAAATTCCTAGAAACTGCTTTGAGCGCGAACTCCGATATTTGCGAATGAAACAAATAACGATGCACTAATAGTGTGGATTTATATATGTTTGACCCCTTTGAAGGTTTGGTACCGTAAACTTCTTTATTGAATGGATCCAGAGCTACATATGAGTTTTGCATGAGGCCATGCTTATTTGTGGCATTGCGACAAATACATATCATGTTGCTTGATATGAATACCATTCAAAAAATCATCTAAAATGATTGAGCCATTGAGAATCTATTTACGCAAGAAAGCAACAATAACAGCCTCTGCTCTTCTTGGTTAAACCATTGTTCAGCTTCACCACAAAAGGAGTTCAGACTTGCAGTCGATAATCACGGACCCATTCACAGATGTGACGCGTGTCATGTCATTCAGAGATCACCAACGAATCTCGAAAATGCTCTCAGCATCCTGTCCAGTACCCAACACTCCGCTGGTGGAGCCTAAAACTCCAACGTCACTCAGATGTCACTAAAATGTCACTCAGATGTCCAGGTGTCTCAACCCGCACTCTGTGCCCTGATGTCACTATGTCAGAGCGCGATGCAGTGAGTAGTGCACAGTCGAGTCACCCCGTCTGGTCACCGCTTCTCATCCACTGCATTGTCCGTTGGCGCGGCGCACAGTCAGCACTAACAGCTCCTCCGGGGAAATTAGTAACCAGTAAGCACCCAATAGACCTCTGCAGCTAGGCAAGAGGCGATGAGCATTCATATTGGACACTACAGCCGTAGATGTGTCAAAACTCAGTTATTTCGAAGCAGCTATGACAAGAGGTAGCTCAAAGGAGAACGCAATTTAGTTACCTCTGCGTCGCGGGACGTTATTTCCCTGTTTAAATGCATTGATATAACGAATTTAAGTTCATCATATATTTTGACACGTAGCCATAAATAACACAAAAGCGTCGGCTGCTCGGTAGGAGTAATCATATGATAACTACGGCAAGTCCCGAAGGAGCCATAGTGCCTCCGTTCATTTCTGCAACACATTCTGGAAGAACAGACGAACGGAAGCGGTACAAACTTACCGAAAGCCGCGTGCAATAATTCAGGATCATCTCCCCGGGCCGTCGGATCCGCACGACAGTGCTTCCACGTCGACCCGTCTCCAGATATATCGATCTGAGATTGATGTGTCCCATAGGAAAGGGCCGGGAATGCTCCCCTCTCGGTGGCACAGTCGGCGCCGCCGCCGACTTTCCTCACCGAGGAAGAAGTACAGTGAATGATTCAGCATTTGCATATTATCCATGTAGATATGCACCGCCCTCCTTATTTGGTTTCACTTAGCTTTTGCCTCAGAGTGCCACATAGTGTATATTTGACTTGGATGATGGGATGAAGGAAGAGCTTTTTGAATTATTTTCCAGCAATAATTTTCCAACACAGGATGACAATTAATGCACTTTACGCACTTCAAACTGGCTAAAAGGGCAAATTGAAAGATGAAACCAGAATCGGTTAATTGTTCTTGAGTCTGCTTCTGCTGCACACAGAAAAATATTGACACCGTTAGCGGTGTAATTGCACAGTACATATCTGAGCACTTGAGGAAAGTTAATTTAGTCCCTTCCCCGCTTAAATTACTCGCGCTTCTAAATGAACACCAGGAAGAAGGTAGTAGAACACTGTTAGGAGGGTTGGGTGTTTTACTACATGTAGCAAAACACCCAACCCTCCTAACAGTGTTCTATTACCTTCTTCCTGGTGTTCATTTAGAAGCGCGAGTAATTTAAGCGGGGAAGGGACTAAATTAACTTTCCTCAAGTGCTCAGATATGTACTGTGCAATTACACCGCTAACGGTGTCAATATTTTTCTGTGTGTGCTAGCTCTTGTACTTCAACTGTCGCAGAGCAGCGCATGTTGCAGCCACCACGGCACCTTGGGGTAGCATAAAAACCTCATGAAAGTCTCCTCCCAGACACCTTTCCTCGAATCGACAAACTGCCCCGAGCAGCGGTAACCTGACAACCCTACCGCAAACCAAGGGTCTCAGCTAATAACTCACCCCATCAAAGAAACCCGTGTGCGTTTACACTTTGTTTTAGCACTGTGATAGTGATAAAACGTAATTTTAGCCGCAGCAGCCCATTCAGATGTATCCGATGGTCCCTTTGCACGCTTTCCCCTTGCTCCGTACCCGAGGGGACATGAAGGGGATGTCGGCTGTATCTTGGCGGGAGTCGTCCTGGTTTTGCACCTCTCCGGGCAATATGATCACATCATCGATGAGCCGCCATGCTTGTCACCATAGTGTCATGTCTCACATGACACTATGGCACTATGATAGAGACAATGTGCATTGTGCAATGTGCATGTGGATTTTAGGCTGTATGTTGTGTTGACCTGGACACTAGAAACATTCCTCACGGCTGCACGGTATACACCTTTTAATAATGAAACGTAGGAGTTTTCCCCGCTGTATAGGCAGCTGATTCTTTCGTGCATTTATCTACAGGTCTCTATGTAATTTAAAAAGCTCCTTTGTTTGATGAACCGATCGCGAGCAGTCATAAAGGGATAGGTCACAATTGAATTTCAAAGCAAACACATAACTTATACTTGTACACTATATCGCTGGAGTTTTTTCGTGAATATCTTACTTGGATGCTTTTCTTCAGACGGTATAACCAATAATAGGAATTCCTTCAATATTTAATGGGTTCGATTTGTGCTCTGAATAGTCATTCTATTTTGCAATAGCCTGCAATAGTTATCATCCCTATAAACAAAACAGTTATGCCACAGATCCATACCGTTTCCTTTGTTCGTTTGCCCCGTCCCATGCATTTCTTTAGTTCAAAAGCAGGGTACCTTATGAATGACGTCACAGATGGCGTCACTGGGCGGCGGTACGGCGGCGGCGGCGGCGGACCGGGTGCTCAGTCTGTCGCCGGCCGCGAGTGGTGGGGGATGCACGGCGCGGAGCGGCGCACCGACTCAGCACACGAACGGTGAGTACCGATGACAGTGTCAGAGGTTTGGTGGTTAGCGTCGGACCTCAGATAGAGAGGTAATCCCCAGGACAGTTTCGGTGGCTGGTTGGGAAGGATTGTACTTCGGATATAGCGGTGATTTCCCGGGCCATTAACACGGGAGTAGAGATTGTAGAACATTGATCGGTAAGATACGAACCGTTGTGTCTCTCCAAAGTTATAGCTTAATTACCCCGTAAATTTAAGCGGACAAATCTTAACAGAATTGATGGGAACATTTATCTTAGTAAGTGACATTTCTACATGCGTCTATTACAAGAAATTCTGCAATGCCTTTTGCATCGTGCAATTATTGGTTCGAGAGTATCTATGAATAAATATGCAAGCGTCTATATGAATTGATCATAATTCTAATGAACACCATCGAAATACAAGGGCATGTTTGAAAGTAACTATTACCAATCGAATGTTATTTAAACATGTCAATACCCGATATTTAGTGACTCTGCCGTTTGTTTTCCGTATCGCTATACGACTAGAGTACGACACCACAGGTCGGCGCTACTTTTGTTCTCCGTATTTCTCATTTTAATTTGACTGAATTATTTTGTTAGTACCGGTTTCTGATGACAATAGGTACCTTGTGATAGCATACATAGCTTATGTACAACTTTCCCTATTCCAACCTTCGTATCCATCTATTTCCTGCAGTCCGTGTCGCGTTGTTTCCATGTAACCACTCGCCCCGATGCCCACCCCCGACTGCCGATACCAAGCCGAGTTCATTTCCCCCATTTCCACAATAAGCTCTGCGCTCGGCCGCTGCCGACGCGGCCATTGGGACTCGAGTGAGCGGCACTAATCACTCGGCCCCGATCGCCGCCTCACGACACACCTGGTGTGGCCAGTGCGCCTCGTTACACCCCGGTGTAGTCGTGGGGCGGATCGAACGTGTGACACGCCCGGCCCGTGTAATCCTCCAGGCCGCTCGGCCGGGCGCGCCGGCGTGTTTTCGGAAATGTGTTCGTGCTGCTTTGTCGTGAATGCGGCGTTTGTTTCGCGCCGTAGCCAATTCTATCAGCCAAACGGGCCCTACTGATATCGCACCATCTCATTCTGGCCCCGGTGGGCATTCGTAGTTGTGCTGGCTTCATGAGACTGCTACTGACGGAACCTTAGCGTGCGAATTCTCCTCAAGTGATGCATGCGTTGCGTGATATGAAAATCAGCCGCATTTTCGTTGCTCGATATTAATCTTTCAGTTATTTTGCTAAGTACGTAGGTTCCGCTGACATGCCTCTTGTTTTGCGTCATAAGGGATAATAATTTTTCACCTTCATATAATTCTACCCTTTGCGTGTGGGTTCTGCCATTTACAATGCGTCTTCGACTCTTCTCAAGTGTACCTGCAGTCTCTGCATACAACTACGGGTTGACCTTTGTCTTTCTCCCTACAATTTTGCTATTTTGTATAACGGTTCGTCCCCAGTGTATCTGTGTGTGGAATGTCTTGTTCTCCATTATACATCGTATCTGCGTGTGAAGTGTCCCGTTCTCCACTCCCAGGTGCGCCAGTGTGTGAGCTAACTCATTCTTTTATGTGCACATACCTACATATCTTGTCCCTCACTCGCCACTGTATCTGTGCTTACATGGCATACCTCGCTCCCCAAACCATGGTGTATCTGTGTGTGAGATATCTGATGTCTCGTTCCCATCTGTCTCTCGCCCCCACTCGGCACTCCTCGGTGTATCTGTGTGCCTCGTTCCCCGTTCCCTGGTGTGTGAGACGACCTCACTCCGATCCATCTCCCGTCACCCCGGGCTCCCGGAAGGAGCTCCGGCACCCCGCCGAAGCCCAGGCCATCCCCCGGAGCCGTCCCATGCGGCGGATACCGTCCAGAATGAATGCATGAATGCCCACCGCTGGTTAGTATGCAATGAAAACGCTGTGGTCGTAGCCCGCGACCGATAGCTCACTCAAATGTAGGCCTTTCGTCATTCGTCCACGTCGCCTGGCTAGTAGGTATTCTATTACATTGCTCCCCATGAAATGTCAGGACGACTCTGCATTGCAAATTGCGTGCGACACTTTGTCAGGCGCATAGTTATGCCGGTACACTTCGCAATGCAGTTATCAAGAGTGTGACGACTCGACTCGACTCGAAGTGCGCTTGAAAGTAAGACAATTGCGATTCAACGCAGAGTGGCTGTCAACAGCCCACTGAGGATAAACGGCTTCTCTGGTTAGTGAAAATAACACATAAATAGCTTTTTATACCTACCTGTACTTATGTTGTATTTGGCTTCAAATCATTTTTAAATAGGTTTCACTACCACATTGTTTCCTTTTAGCAAAGAGACCCAAAAAGCTCTGTGTGTGTGTGTGTGTGTGTTTTTTTTTTGCCTCCTCTTACGGCACTCGCTTTGTCATAAACAATATTGCGATCACCTTAGTATGCATGAATATGCTAGGGAAATCGAGTTGTTTGAAATTGGATATTTTCGGCGCAGAATTTCCGAAGCGATATTTTCAGACCATCTGAATAATATCAAACGCTGAAGCACAAGGCAAACAACAACATTTCTTCATTTGAGACTTGTGAAGGGGCTAGCTAGCATTTCCAAACCGTGTTTATTCTCGGCGGATGTCCAAGCTGCGTTTTCTTATTCCTCGAAGAATATAGGCCTTGCGAAAATGAAACGTTATGTGATTGTTCATTGCCATCTAAAGCAGCAGATAATCTGACACCATTCGGCCGGTCTGTTTTCTATGCTGTTGAAGTTTCGTACCGCCATCGCTCTACTATTGTTTGACTTCTCTTTCCTCCAACTACCCCTGGGTCAGCGACCTGGATCCCTGTCCAACAGCTAACATAGGGCCCAGACATCAGCCCGCATCCTCCAGGTCACATAATCGGGCGTGTGCAGCAGACGAACACCGTCGCCGCTCGAGCTGCGCTGATGTCCGCCGCGCCGCCCGCAGTCGCGTGTAGCACCTCTACTGACTGATGGCCACATGCACCATCAGGGGCGCCGGCCGTGGCAGGCGATAAATCCCAGCGCTCCTCGTCTCCGCCGCGCCGCTGCTCGTCTCCGCAGGGCCGATGCGCCACCGAGTGTGGCTTGCAGAGACTGGACAGAGATGCTAAGAGCGGTGCAAACGCTGAGACTTGCCACACTGTGACTCGAACCGGATCCTCCACCGTCGCCGCCGAGGGCGCCCACCGGCCGGCGAGTTTTTCGCGGCTTTGATGACAGGGAGCTGCGGTCGGCTGCAGATGACTGTCGAGTGCAGGCCGACCTCGGACGGATGTAGTCCCGTCTCCATGTAGCAGCCGCTCTCCGGGCGCCGACAACTGAGGGTGTTTCTATAAACTCTGCGACTGAGTGAGGGGGCGATTCTGACGCGGGATAAATCCGGCACCGTGACGAAAACAGTTCATCTCGAGTCCGACTCGTATCTCCACGCTCTACGATCTCCGAGCGCCATGCGTTCGGCTCAGCTGCGGCGTTTTACACCCCAAACGGCTCCGGATATCGCCAGTCGTCTCGTTCGGCCAACAATTGGACCGGCGGCGAGCGGGGCGTTCGGCCGAGCCGCTCCGGACAGGAACGCGCCGACATTTGTCACTCCGGGGCCGAGGGGCGCCATTTTCGGAACACGACAGACAAATGGTAGTCTTGAGAGGCGTCGGCGGCGCCGGGGACGGGCCGCGATCTCTCCATCGGCCTGGCGGCGCCGAACTGGTGGTCAGGCGGCGAGAAATATACGCCGAGTTGGACAGCCGGCACAGCGGGGCGGCGCCGGACGGTGGGGTGGACAGGACAGGACAGCGAGCCGGGATAGCGGACAGCGAGCGGGGACAGCGGACACGCAGCGTGGTGAGACAGCTGAGAGTGAGACTCGGGGCCAACAAGTCAGGCGACGGATAACGGGAGGAGGTGTGAGTACGAGAGTGCGGCGTAGGGAGTAGAGGGAGGCCGCGGGGATGAGCTGACGGGAGATGACGGAGGAGAGTGGGGGTCAGCGGGAGGTCGTTTGGAGGTCAGTGGGGTAGCCGCAGGAGGTTATTGGAGGGCAACGGGAGGTCAGCGGGAGGTCGCTGAAAGGTCCGCGGGAGGGCATTCGAAGCCGACGACCTGCTGTTGACAACAAATCTGCGTAAGTCGGCTAACTCAACTAACTTATTTGAATTTTCCGCGCTGATGTAATTACGGCACGACCCGGATTGGGAACTATGGGCGGAGATTTTCAGATTGTGACGAAATGTGGAGACAATGTAGGTGAGGTCGTGAGTGGCGGCGCACGACTGTCGGCCGGCCGACCCTGGGGGCCAGTGGTGCGGTCTGATCTCGGTCTTTCGGCGCCGAGAGACGGACAGATCATGGACCGATCGCGTGAGGTGCGTGGGAACTCGGCGACAGATCACCGACGGTCAGATCGTGGGAACGCCGTGCGCGCGCGCCGTCCGGCACCTCTGCGCGCTGCCCCGCCGGGGTGGCCGCGCTGTCCTGTCCCGCCCGCTCGTCGATCCGACAAACCACCGGACCGAGAGCTGCCTGGCGTCCACGCACCGCAATCCATCGATGCACCGGGGCCTGATCGGAGCCGATAGGGCGGAAATTCCGAACCGCGGCGAAACGACCAAAACAAGTGCCTAATTGAGCCGTCTTGGGAGTGCGATGAGCGAGACCGGCCGACTGGGACTCTGGCGCATTATCGCCGCTTTGTTAAACAGGCCGGTCTCGGCAGCGATTGGCAGCTGTCTGTGACGAGCCGACAGCTGCGAGGAACTTGTGACGGGTGTCGATCGAGCTGTTTGTTAGTCCTCGGAGAGTAGTGGTACGCTCTGGAGCGCGGATCATCATCACGAGAGCGCCGAGGTACATGGAATAGATCGCCGGCGTGATTCCGGGCTAGGTGTAATTAAAAAGATCCATGCCAGGATAGGAGATAGTTTGTCCATGTTATCGCTAATGATGGTCATAGTCGAGCGGTATTTGATGAACGGTGCGCTTGGGTCGAGATAACTCAGCTAGATTGCTCGCTTGTTTGCTGTTATCTTCCGAAACAGAAGGCTACAAATAATGGGAAATAAAGAATGGTTTTAAATACACCTTAAGCATCACAAATTGCCTGATCCATCATTCAATACGGTCATCAACATTGTTGCTCCCCCGCGGACTGATTACGGCGGGAAAAACGAACGCAGTTTTTCAGGGACAATCAACATTATCCGAGCACTAGTAAACATCCTCATTGATTTGCCCTCGCATCAGTGACGCCCACTCGTTAAACAATTTCCTCCTATTTGCTGATGAGCTGTTGTGTCTTGTTTATCGACAGCCTGTCGTTTTCCACTGACGAGCATCTCTTTTTATCCGTTGTCACACCGCCATCTTTTATTTGATAACAGCACAATTTTGCCGCCCCATTTCGACAGGCCTCCTTTGTCGCATGTTGATGGGTCGCTGCTTTCTACCCGCTGATTGAGCCAGTTGGAGCTGCTCTTTGTTGGTCGGCCTTTGGTGTTTGTTGACACGTGGTCGTTTGTCATCAGATGGCGACGTGGTCCCCACAATAGCCCCCCACTCGCTGACAGACATGTGTCCCCTCTGTTGACAGGTGGTCATCTCTCGTCGGCTGAACCGTGCGGCGTCAGCTCCGGCTGCCAGTCGTCCACAAACGAACTGCGACCTCACCGGTCCTCCGAGACCGGCGTCCCCCGAACCTCCCCCCGCGGGACCAGCCAGTCGCGCTTCCAAGCCAGCTCGTGCCGCGCCGACCCGACCCCGTGTCGTTCCCCCGGGGACAACACGTGCGCCCGTGCGCCCCGTGACCTGGACGACGGACGTGAGGTGACTCCGGGACCCGATCTGGTGCGACTCTTCGTCGGAGACAGAGAGGGAGTGACTGCGCGTACCGAGCGCGCTCGTGCGTGCGCGAGTGCCTGCGTGCCGACGTGCGCGTGACAGTGCGAGCGCGAGTGCTGGCGTGCGCGTGATCGTGACATCGTGAGTGACCGTCTGTGCGATCGCTCGCACCAGCGAGTCGCCAGAATGGCTCGCGAGAGGTCGTCGCCTCCGCTGCTGGCTACTCTCCTGCTGCTGCTGATGAGCTCTGTTTCGGCAGACCTCGATGTCGCAAGTAAGTTGTGGGTTGAGGTGGTTGTGGCCTGGAAGGGAGGATTGAGGGAGCCGGGAGGCTGGACGCGGGACAAGGCAGAACAAGGGCACAGAACACCCGCTGAGCACCTCTATTACGATATGCTGCCGCACAAATGTGCTGCGTAACTTCCGATCTAGTAGCCGATCCGGCAGTAATCGATACGGCTGTAACTCGTCAGCAGCCGCATTATCTGTCTCGCGCGGTGCCGGCTTAGGTGTTCGGCCCGTGCCTCGCCTGGCCACAGGCCGACCACCGAACGGCCCTTGGATGGCCTCCAGTCGACCGAACTTGGGTCGAGGATTATAGTGTGACATCACACGACATCTCAGCGTCCCAGGGCGGGGATCGCCAAACTGCTTTTCACGCGCTATACTACAAAGACACCGACTCCGGCCGCCTTCGAATTCATATAATCGAAGAAAAATTCCCGCTCGCAATTAGTTCCATTTCTGCGTTTGAGGCCGGCCATTTGGACCCTCGTCGCCTGTGTCTGCGATGACGTGTGTTTGGCCAGCACGGCACGGCGAGGTGCGTCCTGTCCGGCGCGTCGCCGAGGTGTTATTTGGGCGTGTCGGCCGAGGGTCAGCGATAAATTGTCGGTAACCGGCCGTAATGGCTTGGTCCGCCGAGCGTTGACCGCGGCCGGGCTGTGATTTTCAGCGCACCAAGCGGTTAATATGGTAAAGAGCCGCTACGGCGGCATCGAGCGCGCGTCAAGAGCGCAGGGATTGGAGGGAGGCGTGGTGAGGAGCGGCGACAAAAACGACCGATCGAGACGAGCAGCGGCGCGCCGCCAGACGCCTCTTGTTATGATCAGGGCCGTTCAGAAGAGCCACACGGTGGCGGGTTGGGAGTAAGGCTGGATGACCAGCGGATTTTCTCTCCGTCGCCAGTGCCTGCGACCGCCACTCCCTACGCTAGCATCGTGGAGTGGAGCTTACGGGGAGCATTGAGGTCAATCGATGAGTAATCCTGCGGATTAGCGAATGGTAAGCTGTTGGAGAGCAGTAGTCAGCTTCGGGAACCACATCACCATGGCGACCAAAATAGGCTGAATGCACGCCCGTGATATAATTTTAAGACGCCTTGGGTATTTCCTGAACACAAATTCTCGAGGATTGTCGGCCCATCCCTCTGAATACAGGGAGCTCGGCACGTATTCTGCAGGGCAGTTTGCACTGCATTCCGGGTCGGTAATCACCCTCCGACATGCACGCGGCTGCCGCCGGGGCCGCGCCGATGCTCCCCTCGTCGGCCGGCCGCCGGCCATTAGGAGGGATATCAGCCGGTGCCGCGGAGGCCGGCGCCGTTATGAGCGGGATGAGAGCCGCGTCAGGAGAGCGGCCCGGCCTCGGAGACCCGCACGGTCAGACAGACCGCGCGTCATAAGAGACGTGATCACAAACGAGTGAGCTGGCTATACATCGCGAGTGCTTCTTGTTTTCTGACTTTGTGTGAATTTTTATAGGCTTTTATTGCATTAGTAACCATTGTGATAGTTTTAACCAGCGTCCAGGCGTTATGGGCAACATTTTAGCGAATTGTGTTTTAGGGTTAGTGCTACGTAAATTTTTGACAGTTATTGGATTGAACATGTGAACTGTTATAGGTAGATGTTCTCAAACTCGCTCAAGTATAAAATAGCACACACTTATTGCATTTTACCAATGTTTCAAGCTATCTATTGATGCTATTTCTAGACGATCCCAGGTAACAATTTTCCGGAATTATCTTCAGGGACGATTCCCATAGACAATCGAACGTCCAAAATATTCACGGACTTTCCCCAGATCACACTCAAACACAATCGTCAATAGCGTTTCCGCTGACAACCGGGCAATCACTGGCTCCAAAGCATGAACGCCCGAGTGATTGTGATTTCATTGATTAATGTTTGCTCTGTCTCGATGAAGTTCATTTGTCGTGAAGGCTCCAGTGCTGTTTCCATCCAAACCCAGAGATAGCCTCTGTCAAGGGAGACGCATGCCTCTTCGCTGAAGCCGTGGACTATGCACTGTGCAGTCTCACAGGATGTGATGTGTCACGCCAGTGTCCACAGTCTGTGACGCTTGGACGCCGGGTGAGGCACGATCCGAGCCGAGTTGAACGATGTTCCTAGTCGTGTGACGACACTTCCGTCGTCACGATGCCCGGTGGTGACAAAGGCGGGGTCGTGGCGTCTGTCTCAGACGCTGTCACGCTCGCGCTCCTCTGGAGGACGCCGGGCTCTCCTGTCCTGCAGCTCACAGTCGTGTCCTTATCACCGGAGCCCGGCGCCGGGACGGCGTGGGGCGGCAGATCAAGGCGCTCCACCTGACCGGCTCGGTGTGAGATCGCGGATATCGAGCGCCGCCCGCCGCCAGGAAAGTGATGGTGGAGAGTCGGCGACCAGCTCCGGTGACCAGCTCGAGGTGTAACGGGACCGCCGGGCGGTCTGAGAACCCTGCAGACAGACGGTGGGCCGTCTCATCAGCGTGCCGGACACGTGAATCAGTGCTCATTATCGTTACGAGCAGTCGCCGCCAGTTGAAAGACGAGATACGAGGGTCGAGTTCAAACGCTTGCTCTTGCAAGGTAAATGTTATAGATGTGGGCACCAGCACGATCGTTTCTTAGATCTGCGGAAAACTCCGGCTGGTCACTCAACCTTCCGCATTGTCAGTATGAGAAATTGACTGAGCCACAACTCGGAACTCTGGTCATTTGTGGGTTCAACAGTGCACGATACGGGAACACGTGGCAAACTGCCAATTCAAGTACTCAGAGTGGCATGACATTTGGCGTCCTGGGATTTCCTCAAACTTTGCCAGCTCTCAGTAAGTTTAACTACCTGAGGCTTGACATCGAGTCACTGTGCTCACCAGGCTGCTCAGTCAGTTACTCAATATTTCAATTGCAGCGAATCGGCAAGGGACCTTCTGTCAAAGTGTGTGCTGCATTGCTCTGACGTTTCACCCCTGCACACTCCCAGAGTTCAGACAAACGTCTATCGCTCTGTGTACCCCATTCCACGGTACCCGACCGGTCGGCCGGGGTCGTCGGTACGTCGCTCCGACCTCCAATTACACGTGGTCGCCGGCGGCGAACGTGATCCAGTAATTACCTGTTGGAGTCGGGGCCGGCTGGCCGAACCGCCCGCAGCCGTGGCCCACGGCTGACGGGCAGTCGGGCCGCAGCGCCTCACCCTCCACCGCGCGCGGCCGCCGCCACCAGACGAACAGCCGACCCACGCGCAACGGTAACGAGGAATTACAAACGGCCCAACGCGTGGAGGGCGCCCGGATGCAGCTCGGAGGAGCTCCCGTGATGAAGACGCCGGGACGAAGCCGGCAGCAGGCTGGATGAGGAGTGATTAGACTGGGGGCGTCCGTCAGAAATACTAATGATTCCTGGGTGGATGTCTTCCATTTGAATACGGGCCCGCTGTTGGTATGGAGAATTATGATAGATGAGGATGAGTACCGGGTGCCGTGAGCGAAGTCGTGCCGTTTGTGGTCCGAAATGGAGAGGCTGCCTGACGTTTGGATACGCTGGCTTTGATGTGAGCTCGAAGTAAGAGGAGAATTACAAGATCAAACTGAGGAGTTGCCTAGATCGGGGTTGAGAGCCTTGTCTGATGCCGAACAGGAGGGTGGCTATGACCCTTGTCAGATATAACGAACAGTTCGGTGATGTGTTCAGACTTTGTTCCAATCCCATTGTCTCTGGCGATTCCTGGTGGAGTGAAGTCATCCACTGATGTTTGAGTGGCCTGTCATGTCTCCTTTCTCCCGTCTCCATCACCAAGCTCGGTCTCTGTCTCCGGTTTAGTGCCATCGGCGGACTAGAAGACACTTCTGCGGTGTTCCATCCGCTCGTCTTTCAACAATCTCAGCGGTCTCGGTGTTATAACCGCCGAAATACCGCCGTTATTCGGCCAGCTGGATATTGCAGTGCCCCTAGTCGGGCAGATTCCTCCTCAAAGCACCTCGGACAGAACACGCGAAGCCTGGGCTGCTCTCCGGATTTACACGGTCAGGCCGATGGGGAGTGTTTTGCGGTCCTATCCGCGAGCTATTGTGGCTCTGGAGCTTCTTTCAAGTGTTTTTACCAAGGCTCACGGCGCGCACTGCAACAAATGGTCTGCGTTCGAATCTAAATGGGTCCGCGGGGCACCATTTGACAGACATTTACTGTCGGACGCCGGCCTTCGCTGCGATGAATTGTCCGTCCAGCACGCATATCAAGTCCTCCGGACAAGGCACTCATTAGATATCTGAACAGCGGCGTATCAGTGCGGTAAACGGCAGAATATCCCCCATCAATTACGGCGTCCGGGTTATGTATGAAGCGGTCCTGGCTCTGTGCGCAGAGACCCAGTACAATGGGCGCTACCCAGACACCCATTATTACCGAACCCTCAGCAGCTTGTCGGTAATACAAACGAGTTAACCAGTATAGCGCCTTTTGGGGCGACTAACGGAGCGAGCGAGGGGGTGAGTCTTGCACGTGCGAAATTTCGAGGGGGTACCTCCAACTGACTTGTGCAGGGCACCCTACTGACTGGTCTCTAGCGATGTGCCAAATTTGGGCACAATCGACCCAGCCGTTCTCGAGATCTGGAAGCGGCACCCTGCACGTGCGCACGTGCAAAATGGGTCCCAACTGACTTGTGCACGGCACCCTAGTAACCGGTCCCTAACTGTGTACCAAATTTGAGCGCAATCGGTCGAGCCGTTCTCGAGATCTGGAAACGACCCCTGCACGTGCGCACGTGCAGCGGCACCCCAACTCTGGCACATGGATATGCAGTGCCTAGTGGGTGCCTACCTACATGCCAACTTTCAGCGCAATCGGCCAAGTAGTTACCGAAATATTGCAACAATTACAAAAGTGACACCTCTTCGTTTTGCACGTGGCACGTGCATAAGGGGTCACCCACATGCATCGGGAATAGTCCAATACTTGGTAGAAGGAATGAAGCTACCCTACAAAAATTA